AAAAAGAAAAAGAAGTATGTTGGGGGAAAAGTCGGCACAAAAATGTATGTAGTCATGAAAATAATGTACAAAAGTGTGCTGTCTTTGTGGAAATTGCAGAAAGGTTTGTTAGACAGCATTGGAAATTAAAAGGCACATGTTGGGAGAAATGTGTACCAAAATACCAAAACATTTCAGTGAGAAATAAAAGAAGAAAGAGAAAAGGAAGGAAGGAAGGAAGGAAGGAAGTCTCAGCAGACTTGAAGATCCTTAGGAAAAGAAAACAGAAGTAATGGAAAGGAACTGAATTGATGTAAGCAACTGATTTGTTCTGGAGTGAGCTCTCATGGCGCACTTCAGCTGTTGTATGGAGTTCACCTTGCCGCTTGTCCTCCTCCTCCTCCTCCTCCTCTTCTTCACCCTTACCTTCTTCTATGACTATTTGTTTTTTTTAATTCATCAAGGAATTACATAATACAAAAAACAAGTAAAAATAATAACATCTCGGACCAGTGTTATTTGGCAATTTGAGTTCCAGCCAGGAATTGAGGGATGACCCAAGTAATGTCATAAAATATAACATGTAAATCTCAGTTGATATAGCTAAAATATTTAGTTCTTGTAAAAATGGTTGTACCAACAGAAGAGAATCTCTGTAGCTCAGGGCTGAACTGTGGAGTCTTGGGATTCTCTGAGCTTGGGGGTTTCTTGCAGACGTTTTGTTAGCCGTCTAGGTAACGTCTTCAGTGCTGGAAGGGAGTGGGGTTTGCAAAATGAAGCACTGAAGATGTTACCCAGCCGGATAATGAAACGTCTGCAAGAAAACCCCCAAGCTCAGAGAACCCCAAGGACTCCACAAAAGTGGTTGTTTCTACTGTTGTTAGCACACACTGGATAAAAATCAGGGGAGTTTTCAAAGTTCTGGAGAGAGCAAAAGTATTTTTTTTTTAATTAGAAACCGTACATCGAAGCATAACATTGAAGCTATTGGAGAGTCCCAGAAAAAGGTGGGGGAGAACTTCTGGGGAGATGGAAGTTATTTAAAAATAGGTCAGGGGAGGGCTGTCGGCCTGCAAGAGACTCTCCCTTGTCTGCAGGCTGGGCTGCCTCTGAGAATGACCCTCTGGATTTCTGGAAAAGCCTCTCCTTTGTCTTGGGGAGACCTCCTCGTTCAGTCCTTCCCTTGTTCCTGCTGCAAACACGATGAACAATTTCCTAAGCGGTTGCCGATAGACGGCCTTCCTCTGAATTGACAATGGATGCCCAAAGTCTTCCCCAACGTGTATTTTTGGACCAGAACGTGGAGCTGCTATATTTACCCCCTCCCTCCTCCACTCCTTTTCCCACAAAGCGCGTTTTCGCAGCCCCGGCACACGCGGGTGCTTGAAATAGCGCTGGTGCTCTGGCCAAGGGAACTGGGCTGAAGGCTGCAGCTGTTCGGCGGGTTAAAAAAAGATGCGAAAAGGCAGCCTTTTCAGAGCAGCCTCGGCCGCCTCTCTGGACGGTCACCTTTCCCCAGACTCTGTGCGCCCAAGGTCAGCACGCAGGGCGTGGGGCCTATGGAGGGCGGCCCCACATTTTTCAGCCTTGAATCATGCCGGATGGCC